GTTAATATATATATATATATATAAGTAATTATGTAATTATTTATTATACTTTATAAATAATATTATACTAAAATAAATTCTTAAATAATTTTATTGTCCCGTACGTCAAAGGCACTCTTTCTATTATTTATCTAAACCATGATTTAGACTTTGCTAACAAAATTCGAACACGCTAATAATTCTTTTTTTACCTCTATTTATTGATACTGTGATCTAAATTTGTAATATATTGGTTTGAGTTTTGAAATCGTCATGTTATCCGCATCCTTGAATTGAAATTTAAATAATATGTATAGAGTAAAGATAATAGAATGTTTTTATTTATTTATTTTAAGATAATAACACAATAAAATTGCATTTTCACTTAATTTTTTTTTTTTTGGTAAAAAAGTTTGTGGCAACTGCGGAATCAAGAAAAGATGCAGGAGAATATTGGAAAATGGCAACTGAGGAACTGACTGTTGAAGGTTCTAAGCATAAATGTGAAGAATCTCTTATTAGAAACACAAAAGTCACCATGGCAGAAGATTTTAAATCGAAACCAAGTATTTCGAGTTACAAAAATGGTGACATTTATGCTAAGGAAAATAAGAAAGTTGTAAGAGATTTTGGATCGAGACCTAGCGCTTCAGCTTATGGTCATGATGACACCACTACTAAAGCAAAAAATAAATTTATGTTAGACTTTGAACCAAGACCAAGTGCTACAGCTTATGGTGGAGATGACAATATTGATGCTAAAGAACACAATGAGAAATTTACAGAAGACTTTGAACCAAGACCCAATGTTTCAGCTTATGGCCATGATGACACCAATGCTAAAACAAAGAAAAAATTCATGGTGGATTTTGAGCCAAGACCAAGTGCTACAGCTTATGGTGGAGATGACAATGTTGATGCTAATGAGAACAATGAGAAATTTGCAAAAGAGTTTGAACCAAGACCCAATGTTTCAGCTTATGGTGATAATGATGTTGATGTTATGCAAAAAAAGAAATCTGTGCAAGATTTTGAACCAAGACCTAATATTTCAGCTTATGGTGACAATGACATTGATGCAAGGGGAAACAAGAAAGTTGTGAATGATTTTGAACCAAGACCTAATATTTCAGCTTATGGTGACAATGACGTTGATGCAAAGGAAAAGAAGAAAGTTCATGAAGATTTTGAACCAAGCCCTAATATTTCAGCTTATGGTGACAATGACGTTGATGCAAAGGAAAAGAAGAAAGTTCATGAAGATTTTGAACCAAGCCCTAATATTTCAGCTTATGGTGACAATGACGTTGATGCAAAGGAAAAGAAGAAAGTTCATGAAGATTTTGAACCAAGCCCTAATATTTCAGCTTATGGTGACAATGACGTTGATGCAAAGGAAAAGAAGAAAGTTCATGAAGATTTTGAACCAAGACCTAATGTTTCAGCTTATGCTAACAATGACATTGATGCAAGGGGACAAAAGGAAGTTGTGAATGATTTTGAACCAAGACCCAATATTTCAGCTTACGGTGATAATGAAGTTGATGCAAAGGAAAAGAATGAAGTTCATGAAGATTTTGAACCAAGACCTAATGTTTCAGCTTATGCTAACAATGACATTGATGCAAGGGGACAAAAGGAAGTTGTGAATGATTTTGAACCAAGACCCAATATTTCAGCTTACGGTGATAATGAAGTTGATGCAAAGGAAAAGAATGAAGTTCATGAAGATTTTGAACCAAGACCTAATGTTTCAGCTTATGGTGACAATGATATTGATGCAAGGGGACAAAAGAAAGTTGTGAATGATTTTGAACCAAGACCCAATGTTTCAGCTTACGATGATAATGAAGTTGATGCAAATGAAAAAAAGAAAGTTCATGAAGATTTTGAACCAAGACCTAATGTTTCGGCTTATGGTAATGATGACGTTGATGTTAAGGGAAAAAGGGATTTTGAGCCTAGGCCAAATGTCTCTATTTATGATGAATAAATGAGGTGAAGTGCAACTTTAATCAATGATGTAACTTATTAATAAAGTTTGTGTGAAATGTATCCTATAAATAATGAATAATATTATGATATGGTATATTATGCTCTTTTAGAATTATGTATATGACTAGTTGGATTACTCATACTTATTTAGAAAATTTATAAAAAAAATAAAAATAAAATAAGATTTTCAAGTAATAAAATAGAAAAGATAGATGAAAATAATTTAATAATGAAAATAAATGAAAGGTGGAAGGAAAATAAATTAAAATAATTAAAGATCGTTGGAGTAATGACAAAACATTTTTATTTGCATTATAAATATTATATACAGATAAAACTTGTTATGAATTTTAAATGGATAATTAAATAAATACTCGCTTAATAATGAGATGGATATTAATAGTATGGTACTTGTACTTACAAGTATCTGCGCTTTAAAAATATTAAAAATACTCTTTATTATATATAAAGTAATTTGGTTCAATTTATTTTTTCACTAAATATACGCATCATAATTTTTAATTTTAATACAAATATATCATAAAAATATTTTTTAATATAAATATATTTTTAAATTATTTTTCATTTTTATATTATTTTTTGTACCGCCCGGCTTGGATAGATCGAGTCAAACTCATAATAAGTTCAACCTAGCCAAGCAACCTTGTTAGCTTGCCATGGCAAAAACAAAAAAACAACTTAGACAACAATCAAAGAACAATTCTCACATCATATCTTCAAAATCCCAAAATGCATTAAAGAACATGACAAGAATATGCTCCAAGACGTCATACATATCATATCTTCCAAAATCAAGAATCATATTATCAAGAACAATATCTCCACTTATCAATAAGAATATCTCCTTAAATCAAACAACATTATCTTAAGCCCAAGAGATAAGGTCAATCACTTATATATATGTGAAGCATGAAGTACCACTTTAACCTCAATTTCATTTTTAACCTAAACTTTCTTCTAATTTGAGTATCAAAATGTCTTTATAGGTGCTCTCATCGTTACGAATATTGAAGAAACTAGGATGACATCTTGACCATAGGAGCACTTGCAAATTTTCATAAGAACGTTTCTTTCCTTTTTTATTTAAAGTTTTACATTTTATCAAATATCCACGAATATTTGTGAATATTCATAGATATATAAAAAATTCATGAATACTTATTAAATGAATATCCGCACTAAATAGGGTGGGAAATATCTATACCGCTCGCCAGTTGTGAAGTTAAGTTAGGAAGAGTTTTATACAATATTGATCGTACAAATAATAGATATGTTATGATGATTTCGTCAAAATGTCTTTATAGGTGCTCTCATCATTACGAATATTGAAGAAACTAGGATGACATCTTGACCATAGGAGCACTTGCAAATTTTCATAAGAATGTTTCTTGCATTTTTATTTAAAGTTTTACATTTTATCAAATATCCACAAATATTTGTGAATATTCATATATATATATATATATATAATTCATGAATACTTATTAAATGAATATCTGCACTAAATAGGGTGGGAAATATCTATCTGGCTCGCCAGTTATGAAGTTAAGTTAGTAAGAATTTTATATAATATTGATCGTACAAATAATAGATATGTATATGTTATGATGATTCTTTAATAAGTTTTTTAATCATACTGTAATTCTTTTTTAATCCCTTATTGGATGTGACTCTTAACAAAGTGGCGTATAATTGAACATCAGTGAAAATAGGTCATGATAAATACAAATTGATATACGATATATCCATGAAACTTATTAAGTAGCGTGATAATTACAACAATTGTATTTGTTGAAATTAAATAGGAATTGTTTGAGAAAATGAAATATCATCCTTGACATAACAACATTTTCCTCAAATTTACTTTTTAATAAGAGTTTTTCATTCAATAACATGATTTTCTAATCTTCTAATTTGCAATCAAGTTTTATTACACATCATATAATCAATCAATATTCTTATCAACAGGATTTTAACTGAGTTTTAGATTTTGTTCAAATAAACCTTTTCAAAATATACTATAAGAAGAAAAAAAATGGTAAAATAAATTAGCTGTTTTTTATAAGTTAATATTAATTTAAGTAGATAAGTTTTTATTTTAAAAAAAGATAAATGAAAAAATAATTGATAAAAGTTAAAATATATAAGTTGATTTTAAGTCTAGCTAGATCCCCGTCTTCAAAACCTCAGCGTTCAATGTCCGTTTTGTGAGAGTCAAACTGAGAACACTTGGCACTTCTCCATCGGATAACGGTCAAAAATGGTAATGTCCACTGCAAAAGGTATAAGGGACTTGATCTTGGAAATGCTGAACACATGCTCCCTCCAAGAACTAGTAAGTAATATTGACGCTGTTTTTTCCCCCTACAAATGGTAATTCCAGCATTGACTCTATTGGATCCTTCATCCATGCAAGAACACGCAGACTCCAACCACATGGATGCCAGGCGCTCACTTCACTGGACTAAACATCAGGATCTCCCCTCGATATTTGGGTCTAATTGTTATATTTTATTTTTCACAAATGTTTTCTTATTTCAACTCTTGACAAATGAGATTCTTTACGATATTTGTTGAAAATATAAATAAGTTATTTTAACATTTCCATTCCTCAATATTAGTAATTTTATTGGTCACATAAAAATATATATATATA